CTGTTGTTTTTACTAGCTTTCTTATTTCCTTTCAATTCCAGAAAATTTGCTTATATATACCAGGGTTGTCTATACTAAGACTTTGTTAGGGTAACAAAGTATTGTCCTTATATAAGAAAGAAATGGCATCAAACTCAACCCTAGAGACCCAGAGCACCTGTGGACTTAGGAGCCTATAACAATAACCTATGAACCAAAGGACTTTCAAGGCCCAAACACCATCCTACAGAGTTTGTAGGTTTGAGATACAAGTAGGGAGAGAATGCAGAATAATAGAAAGATTACAAAGACTTGACTTATGATATCATCCTTCCCTCTCCTTATTCCTCCTCCCTGCTTGCTCTCCTTTCTCCTCTGTCTCCCTCTTGTGCTTATTAATAGCAGGAAATATGCACCTGTCTTCACTTACCTCTCCACCCACTTCCACCGCTGCCTGCTTCATTGAGAGGAATATAGAGACTGGTTTATTGATGATAAGCTTCTACTTCCCCTTGCCGACTTTCCCCACACCCATCATCCCAATAACTGAGGATGTTTTCAAGGTGGGAACATTACTATCCAAGTCTCTTTGGGCTTCAATTGTCATCAGTATCCTTGCTCATTAACAAAGGTTATCTGATTAACTCATCTCTCCTTCTCTCTGAACATATCAGTAAAAATGCTACCACTTTGTTTAAACAACCTCATCTCCCTGCTCAGGGTGATAATAGGGGTAACTCCTAACACACTACTTCCATGACACCTTATTCTCACAATGAAATGAGCTTATTGATGTGGAAACCAATTTCTATAGACAAACAAAGGAAAAATCCCACCCGTGAAATGAGGGTGGAATATCTATTTCAATTGCTCCTTAAGATGTAGATCCATCTGTTCAAAATGAAATTTCCTACATTTTATTCCTTAAACCATTTTGGATAATCAGATAAGTTTGCAAATAGGACATCACCACTCATGAGAATTTCCAAAGTATGCTGACATTTGAACATTCTTACACATAGCAAAGCATTAGAGATTTGTTCTTTGCTTTAAAAGCCTGCAGATGGGGTGGGAGAAAGGCTACAATCACACTATCCAAAATGAAGAATTAGGTCTAGAACAGCACAGAAGGCATAGTTTTCCAGTGCCTGTGAAATTTCTTTATTCCTCAAAGTTGCCTCATAGCAGTACACAGGCCAACTCAGAACACAAACATATCCATTCATGCCTACGACTTCTCCTCACCCACAACTACAATATTCTTTTCTAGTGGCCCTCCAGATCTCCTGCAAGCATAACCTCCTTTGTGAAGATCACCCTCTGGTTTCATTTAGTGCACTGAATCATATGATGCCTGTAATGACACAAGACAAGATATAAGAACATAAGCCTTACATTGCTTTCCTAATTAAAAGATAGTAAATTATTGGAGGGCACACTTAATATTTTATTATTTATTAGTTTTACTTTATGTGTATGAATGTACTGCCTGCAAGTAAGTGTACCTGTGTCATGCAATACCCATGGAGGTCAGAAGAGGGTGTCAGGTCCCCTTGAACTGGAGTTATGGATGATTCTTAGCTGCAGTGTAGGTGCTAGGAACAAAACCCAGTTCCTCTGAAAGAGCAGTCAGTGCACTTAACTGCTGAGCCTCTCTCCAGTCCCTGGAGGGGGGCACATTTATAATGATAGTACCTTATACACAGCCAATATAGCTTGGGTATGACAGAATATTTTTGAAAAGAAACTGAATATTATCAATTGTAAAAAAAATATTTTTAATGGCAAGAGAGATGGTTCACTGGGCAAACGTATATGATGTCACTAAGACTACAACCTTCATTTGATCCCCAGAACCCACAAATTAAAGGTGTGTGCCACCACATCTAGCTGTTTCCTCATTTTTGAAACCACCTCATCTACAAACACACCACCCACATCATCAAAACTGAGCTTTTTTCTTTTCTAAAAATATCATTATGTTTTATAAATGAAACTTTGGGAAAATTAAAATTTTGATAAAAGATTTAAAAATTGAAGTAGAAAATAGGTAAGTCATACTATACCTGTTTTATAAAATTTTTATTTATGTATTTGTCCCTGAAGATTCTAAAACTGTAGTCACCAGTTAAAGAGATGAGATGAGATAGATAGATCCCTAATATTTGAAAGGATAACCTGTAGCTATTAGTCTAAATTCTGTTTTTCCAAATTCAGAAGAAGAATGGCAAATCTTATTTTGTCTCAAAACATAAAATATGCAAGTTGTTACTTTCTATAACTGAAACTATAGAAGGAAAAATAATTATTGCTTTTAAAGCAATGCTAGTACTGGGTGTGCATCAGTTGTTGAAGACGCTAAAGTGTCTGTAAGACTTGTCCCACAAGGTGATCAGCTCAGCTCACAGCTATAGATGCTTCTGGAACTCTGAGAGTTCTTGTCATAAAAGGGCATCTAGCAGGAAAAGCCTCAGGGAATAAAAAGCACACATTGCCACAGTGAGAAAGCTTGCATCTTGTTTTCGGGACCAAAGTCCTCAGAAGTTGTATTCATGCTTCCCAAGCCCCAGAAACTGCTCCCATGCCTAGCACAACTGCGGAGGGTACAACCTCTGTTCCCTAAGCAGCTGATAAAAGCCACACATTCTTCTAGAATGCAGGCACTGTTATCTACTTTTGGTTTTTTATTCAATCAACTTGCATAAATCTGAGTAAGTTTTCTAGTCAACATCCTCATCATCCTAAACTCTGCATCAACTGGGCCACAGTTGAGACTGTACCCTTTAACAGAGAACTGTTACGTGAATAAATCTTCTATCTTTGCCTCCTTTTCCAGCTCCTCTCCTTATCCTTTTTAGATAAATTAAAATTTGGCAATAAAATGGTGGACTCTTGATATTTGAAAGGGATGTGTCTGTAGAAATGTACACATTCACCAATTTAATAAAACAGGGGAGAGCAGGGTGAGGAGTGAGTTAATGAAAACTAAGGATGTATGAAGAAAACTTATAGAAACCCACTAGTTGGTAAGAAAAAATAGTCTATAAAAAAAGGAGACCAAATTGAAGTACTCTCCATAGGTGGATAGAGGACATGGGTTACTACATCAAAATCTCAGTGCCAGGCACAGAATCTCTCCCTATGAGTTACTGGCTAGGGATGTATCAGAGGTACGTGAAACAATACACGCTATTGCCATTGCTCTTGGTTGCCTACCACCCCGAGAAGGTAAGACCTTAGTGCTGAAGATATTACTCACTTTGGATGGAGGACATAGAGAACTCAATCTAGACTTTCCAGGAAACTCTCTTGCTTCTGGCAAGCTTACATAGTGCCAGAAGGTGCTGTGTAGGCTGCTAGAAGTGAAAAGACATCAGTGGTCTCAAGTGCTAGACTCTGAATGCTATAATACTGACCTGCATGGTATGATATGCCCACTGATGCAATAGTGGGATGATGGTTACAGCATTAACCAATCACTTTCTGATTGAATGTGATGGCAAGCTGCTCCTCAGGTGGGATTTCATGCCTGGCACTGTAAACAGGGTCAAAAGACTAAGGATGGGGTTATCATAGACCTTGAGGGGGAAGCATACTCTTTTTGTTATGTTAAATGGCTATGCTTTCAAACTGCCTTCTAAATATTTATACCCATAGATTTGAGTTGCTCTCAACTTTGGTCATAGAAGCTTCTTTTTGCAGTGGGTAATAGTTAATGTAGTGATTCATAGCTGGTCAAAGTGCCAAACAGATGTAACTGTGAAGGTTCAGCTATGGATGGATCATATATTAATCTCCCCCATCCAAGATTCAGGGAACATAGTAGAAGTATGGGCAGAAAGACTGTTAGAGCTGATGGATGAAGAGAGCTGTGAAACACAGACTTCTGGACATGACATGGCTGTGGACACATTGACTCATACCACCTGTGGTTACCTGCATAAGGCCTGCACAAAACCAAGTCAGTCAAATTTCCAACATAAATGGGGGAGATGCCCCTGAGACCTGACCCTTGGTGAGGAGCTATTAGCAGCTGATGGTTTCTAAGAGAGGGAAAGTCACTCTCCTTTGATGTGGCCACTGGTAGATTTCCCATTCCCCAATGGTTGACCCCACAACTATGTGCATATGGGCAACACAAATTGGACTTAGGGGGTTATTGATAACAACAAAAAAACACATGAAGTGGGGAAAGAAAAGTAGAGGGCACTAGGGGGAGCTGGAGGAAGGTAAGGGTGAATGGATATGATCAAAATATATTATGTAAATATGTGAAAATTTTCAAAGAACAAATACATATTAGTTTTAAAAAAATCTCGGAGGGACTTGTGTATGCTGACACATATGCTGAATCATATGAGTGGGTTCCCAGGAGCGTGTAGGACTCTGTTTCCATATGGTCATGCACCCCCTCCTGGCTCTTACAATCTTTCCTCCCACTCTTTTGCGATGGTCCCTGAGCCGTGGGTGGGGCAAAAGGAATGCTATTCATTCATTCCTGTCTCAGTGAAGCATACACCTTAGGTGGAGTTTCTCATTCAACTTTCATAATGGCCCTATAGTGGAAGTGGAAGATGTTCATTTTATTATTGATAGCTTATACTAGTCAAAATTAGTGCAAGTTGAAGAATTACAGGGTAGTGTATAAAATGGTCAAAATGAATATCAAATCTATGAATGTTCATGATGTGCAGTCTCGGAGCTGGAGAGGTAACTCAGTGGTTAAGACCATGAGCTACTCTTGCAGAGGACCTCGATCCATTTCCCAACACTCACATGGCAGGTATCAATCTTGTATAAATCCAGTTGAGGAGGTCTGATATCTTCTTCTGTTCTCCATGGGCATTACATGCACATGATGCACTTAAATACATGCAGGCAATGCACTCATACACATAAAATAAAAATAAAAAATAAAAAAATTTAAAAATGTGTACATTCAAGAAAATTACTGAACTTGTGTTGGAGTGGACTCCACTTCCAGCTAGCAGTACCCTCTTTCCCGGGTGTCAACTGCCTACCTTCCTTGGCCCTCGATGCCATGGCTGCTGGTAGGCTCTGAGCACAGTACACCTCCCGGGTCTGTATCCCACCACCGCATACTGTTCCTGTCTCATGCCAGAGGAGATCCTGTTGCTCCAGGAGAAAAGAGACGTGGCATCCATTCCATTCAGAGGTTCTCCAGGAATACCTGTTTGGTTTGAGTTGTTTAAAAGAATGAGAAATAATGAGGAAGACACATTTCTGATATAAGCAAATGATGACCTTCTTTCTAGCTCATCTCTCCCCGTGGAGGAAGACATCTACTGGCTTTGGATTGCTAAATCCCTTTGATTTTCTAGAAAAAGCCCAGGGTAAGCAGAATGAAGAAAGATAATAAGGCAAGTCATGGGTATGTCTCAGTGTGAAACTGGAAGACAGCGGAGAACTAAGAGGAAAGCTCTGGAGACACAATAAGCCTGACTTAACAACAGCTAGAATTACCATCAGGCTTTACTTCATAGACTTCAGTTGACTCTGTGTGGAAGTCAGATTTTCTTTTTGAATTAGCCAAATAATGTATAAGCTTGTGAATATTTTTTTTTTCAAATAGGCCAATAGGTCTGTAACATCTCAATCCTGATTTAAGAAACACTTTATCCTCATTTGCAACCCTGATATTGGGATACAGATGTTGAGGTGAGTGTGTTAAAATGTATGTTAAATATATGATAAAATGCCTTAATACTCTACATGCCACTATATTTGATCAATGAATTTTTTTCAACATAAGCAGCGTGCAGTTCTTTAAACTGACTTAGGAATGGGTCTCCCTGGTTCATAATTGGTTAGAACAAAAATAAGGAAAAAAAAATTCTAGGGACTGGAGAGATACCTCAGAGGTTAAAAGCACAGCTGCTCTTGCAGAGGACCTGGGTTCAGTTTCCAGCACCCAAATGGTGGCTCACAACCAACTGTAACTCCAGTTCCAGGAGATCCAATGCTCCCTTCTGACCTCTGGCAGCATTACACAGATCAGATGGTGTGCTTACATACATGCAGGCAAAACACTTATATACACAAAAATAGAAAGATTCTAGAAATGCAAAAAAGAGTAAAATACAATAGAGTTTGCATACAACTTAAAACAAAGTTTTCACATCACAACAATCATTCTGTGAAAATCTGAGAAAGATTTTCAGATATAATTTCCTTTTATTGGTTATTATAGCAGTCCTCAAACCCAAACAATTAACATAACCCAGAGCATTCTCAGACATATGAACAGACTCATTACCTTCTGAAATGATAAAGAAAACCTAAAAACATTCTTAAGATTTATCAGCTATGTGATTTCTTAGAAAACAATTTAAAAATTATCATGTTGCCAAGACCATGGAATTACAGAAACTAGGGTAAAACTCAAATTTCAGTAACAGATGTCAAAATAAAGAAGAAAATCTGTAAAAATCCTGACATTGACCAAATTCTTCCCAATGAATGTCATCATTCTAAAAAGCTTGAAAGCTTAGAATCATCAGTCTTGTAAAAAGCCCCTTGTAAAAAAGATTTACACAATCCATTTGGTTTCTTATAACTCAAATTTTCTCCCTTTCTCTTAGTATTTCATTTTCGCATGTTTTTTTCCAAGTTTAAAGCTGTGTCCAAAGAACTGAGTAGATGGCTCAGTTGAGCCTGTGTGAGAACCTGAGTTCAGATACTCAACGTACACATAAAAAACTGGAGCTTTCTGGCCAACCAGTCTGGATGAGTAAGTGAGCTCTAGTTTTAATGAACTACCTTGTCTCAAACACCACATGGAGTGGGATTGAGGAAAACATTCAGCATTGTTCTCTGGAATCCATATGCATATACACTCATGCATGCACACTCCTGCACATTCACACTCACAAACACATACACATATATACCACTCCCACATATACTACATACAAACATATGCAACACACACACACATACACACACACAGGACTTGTCTCCCTCATCTCTAAGTCTTGAGACACAGGTAACGCCCTATTTTAGGGCAAATACAGTGAATTGGGGACTGACTGTAGGACTGGATGGTCACTCAGCTCTTCTACTTCAAGTGTTCTCCCATGAGTCTCCTAAAGAAGGCTCTAAAGAACGCTAGCTATAGAATCTGACTTACTCCAAGGTGCCTATGATACAGTCATCAAGGAAGACAGGCAGAAAGATGTAGGCACTATGCTGGCGACCACAGCCAGCTTTAGAATCACACCAACCTGGTCTGAGTAAGAGCCTTGGCACTTAATCCTTTGATTTGGTCAGCAGTTCTATTCTTGCATTCATAAGCTGCAGATAATCATCCAAACATTGAAGCTGATTCATAGTAAAATATTAATTCTATTTCCTCCCCCTTTTAAAAAATATTTTATTTATTATTTTTAACTGGATAGCTTTAGTGTCAACTTGACACACCTGGGTTGAGGGAGCCTCAATTGGGGAGTTGTCTCTATTGGACTGGCCTGTGGCCATGTCTGAGGGCATCTTCTTGATCACTAATGTGGGAGGGCCCAGCCCACTGTGGGTGGTGCCATCCCTGGGCAGGTGGTGGGCCTGTGTTGCATAAGAAAGCAGGTTGAGCAGGGGCCAGGGGAGAAGGCCAGTAAGCAGCATTCCTCCACGGCCTGTGCTCCAGCTCCTGCCTCCAGGTTCCTGCCCTGAGTTCCTACCTTGGGCTCCCTGATGAACGGTGACCTGGGAGATATAAGATAAATAAACCCTTTCCTCCCCAAGTTGGAAGTGGTCAGAGTGTTTTGTCAGAGCAATGAAGAAACAAACTAGTACACTATGTAAGTGTATCCATGTTGTATAATGCCAATGGAGGTCAGAAGGGGGCGTTGGATCCCCTGGAACTGTCGTTACAAACAGTTGTTAGCCACCATGTATATGCTGGGAACTGAACCTGGATCCTTTGGAAGAGCAGCCAGTGCTCTTAACTCTTGAGCCATCTCTCCAGCCCTCTCCCCTCCCCCACTTTTTTGATATAGGGTCCAAAATATCTTAGGGTGACCTTGAACTGAAACTTGCTATGTAGCCAAGGATGACCTTGAATTCCTGATCTTCCTTCTCTACCTCTAGTGCTCCAATTACAGGCGTGTCCCATCACATCTTATTTATGCAATGCTAGGGATTAAACCTAGGGCTTCATGAATGATAGGCAAGCACTCTACCAACTGATCTACATACCCGTCCTTCCCTTTTTTTATATCCTTCTCTGTGTGTTATTTGTCCATTGCTGCCTCAGTACATGTATACACACACACATACACACACTCACACATATTTATCATGAGGATTTCATAAGTTTCATCAAAAGTTCTATGTTAGGTCTTACTCTGCACTGGACTTTCCATGCTACAGCTTTCAGGCAAGACATGCCCACTGATGCAATAGTGCTATGACTATCACTAGGGTATTTCTGACTAGATTTGAGGCCTGCTCCATGGAAAGGAATTCATGCCTGGCAGTGTAAATCTGGTAAATAGTTCATGGCTGGGGAGGTTATAAGCCATAAGGGGGAACCTACTGTTGTTTTGCTAGATGGTCATTTTGTCAAAATACCTTCTAAATATTATACTTATGCCCAGAGCTTTATGGCGCTTTCAACCTTGATCAGAGAGACCTCTTTTTACTGTGGGCAGTGGTTAGTATAGAGATTAAGTGGCTGTGAGTTCTCAGCTGTAGATGGGACATCTATGTCGACCTGCTCTACCCCAAGTGTTCTAGTTTGTGTGACAAAATACTCTGACCAATACCAACTTAGAGAGGAAAGGAATGGATCATACTGTTTAAATTGCCTTTCCAATTAATTTTTCACAACCCTATAAGAATTAGCAATTGATAGGTTTTGGAAGTCATTGTGAATAAAAATGCAAAGAAAGTTTAATGAGTATAGTTTTACATAAAGGAACACATTTCTGTTGTGAGTTCATTTACCAAAAACATCCAACTTCTACTCAGTGGCAATGGACAAAAAAAATCTCTAAAGGAAAATGGGGGCATTTATCACTATCACTATTGTTTACCATTTTAGAAAATACCAGCTCAGCAAGAGGCAACAAAGAAAGCACCAAGTAAAGGTCTTCTGTGATCTTTTTAAAAATATGGGCCTTTTCATAATCTTTGCTCATCTTTCTTTACTTTATGTTTTCCAAAAGCCTCATCTATGTTTAGTCACAAATCACTGAGAAGCCATGAAAACTGAGCATCCTCAACTCCACCAGCCTAAGAGGGTGTCTCTAGGATCTGACAGAATAAGAAATCAAAGGACTGTGGTGAGCCAAACGTTACTCTCTTGCTTCTTTAGACGCACTTAAGGTGACAGGCCTGCAGCCTCAGGAAATGCTGGCTTTCCAAGTCTGCGACATTCTCTTTAATGCCTGAGCCTGTGTCAAAGACCAGGCTATTCCAAACCCCTGTCTCCAACTCAGTACCTTTCAACACATCCTCATTTTGTCCTCCTGCACAGGAGGGGAATATAGAGAGTCTCAGAGACCTGAGTCCTAAGTCCTTTGAGGAGCAGCACTCTGAATTGGGCTGTGGAAATGCCTCCAGTAGAGTAGATGAACACGAAAAGAAAGAAATGAATCAATTTTCATGCCACCTTGCAGGTGTATAGGATCAATTTGCTTTTTTCCTGAAGGTCTAGATGAACAGAGTAAACATGGCATTAATTTATTTGGGCTGCTAGGGTGTCGCAAAAGATCCCTGAAACTGTAAATATAGCAGCTGACATATCCTGCCTGCTTGTTCTGTGTTAGGCCTACATTAATGAATGAAGATGCATTACTTCAGTTTGTACTCCAAATAATTCTATAATAAAAATATTGTTTACCATTTAAAGATGAGAGAATGGGTATAAAAAGGGACTCTTCCAGTGTCTCATAAATAAGTGGCACAGTAGGATTCAAAGTCAGGTTTACCTGCCTCTGTTGTAACAGTGCACGGAAAACCCATGAAGGTAACTGAGTTGGTGATATTGAGTGCAAGTTCAATAAACAACAGGTGGCTACCTGCCTGAGTATTTCAAGAGCAAGCAAATGCTGGTGCAGATTTGAGAAAACGTGTTCTGGATTGAAACCAAAACAAATACCCTCCCTTGGTCCTGATGCTCTTGTCAGTGATGTCTGACCCATAACATTTCTTGGTCCTGATGCTGCTGTCAGT